CTTACAACTGCTTACATATGTATGTAAAGCCCGCGTTTTTTTTTTTTTGCTATAAAATTCAACTTTTTACTAAGTATGCGTGCTTAAATAAAATCCCCATTGTAAGTTCATTTCAGTTCAAACTTTTTCGTATTGGAAATTTAAGTGCATTGTCTAGGTCTTTGTATCTCTCAAAAACTGCAGCAGAAACACGGGGAGCCTCTTGAAGGCAGTAAAATACCCGCCAATTCTGTCTATTGGTGACCAAAGAAGGTAGTGCTAATCTATATAATATATAATAAAACCTCCAAAGCCTTTGGTATCGACGGACTACTCATATCAATCCTAAAACACTACATCCGCCGGTACGATAATACCTCTTTAAGGATCTCTGGAAAGTTCATCCTACTACTTAAATCCGTGAAACCAGCCAACGAGGGGAACTATTTTGGTTCATTAGCTTCTTTCCCTAGTAGTAAAGATTTGAAGTCTCTCTTTTACCTCTAATTTACGTACAATCTGACCCCCGCTTTGCACGAACATGGCTTTCGTAATCTTCAAGACACTGCCAAAGCGCTTAACGCCATAAACACTCAGATAACTCGCGGCGTTAATCGAAAGTGACCCTGTAAGGAAACTGTAGTAGCATTGCACTTGTCAAAAGCCTTGGGCACCGTTTGCCACTCCACGCTACTAAATTTTACATTAAGACATCACCTAGGATGGTGGGCACGAATTATCTGTTTGTTCGTCAATACTGTATCAACATCAAACTTCTAGAAACTGGAGAACTAAAGAAAGGGTCCCAGAGTGTGGCGCACTCTTCTCACTACTGCTTAAATCTGCATATAGAAGCTCACTCAGCCAACAGAAAATTTTCCCTGATCTCTCTGATTGTTTGTATTTGTGTCTAATAATGGAATTGGCGATCTTTGTTTGAAGCTACATCGCTAATCTTTATCGGTTTTTCACTACACGAAGCCTTACCTCTTCTTAATCGCCAAGGAAGTACAGAGCTGCGATAAGGCTCTCAAATGGAACGCCGTAAGCACTTGGGGCAAAGGGAACGAAACATTTCTGGCAACACAGAAGCAGATTAGCCGGCTGGTTCTAAATGATGCTGCACAAGTTTGCCACCAGGTAATAGTAGCGTGCATATTAGACCCCGAGGAATATCTTCTGATGTCGTCTAGACACCGTTTACATACATAGCAAGGACTTAACGCTCCCCATCAGAAACATCATCTTATGCTTAGTAAACATTTCCTGCTTGTCAGCGCAGAGCACCCCCCGGCGCGGACATAATGTTGCTTATTGAGAGACAATCATCACATCGGCCAGTCCCCAGTGAGAGTTGTTACAAGCTTTGCAACGTCATTACCAGGGAACGGATTTTATGGAAATTGCCTTTTTTTCTACTAAAGAGATAGAGTATATTCGATCAAGAATGTCCACGATTTAGCTTTCCCTGATTCCATATATACCCATTTGATGTTGCCTTTTTTTTGCCTTTTTTAAGATATTTGCCTTTTTTTTGCCTTTTTTAAGATATTTGCCTTTTTTTGCCTGTTTTAAGATATTTGCCTTTTTTTTGCCCTTTCTACCTTTATAGCATTTACAATTTTTTTTAAAGATTAAGAAATATACACATGCCCATATTCGAAAATTAGTATGTTAGAAAAACGCAGTGTGTAAGTAGTGAATACTTAAGCAAAAATAAATTTTGTAGTTTTCATGTCACTCTGTTGCGTGCTAAAATCTATCAACACAGTTGCTGATGTGCACAACTAACAACTGTTTTACTTCAATAGAGTTTGCCAGCCGTTATTGAAACAAAAAGTTATTCAGTGTAAAAACTAAAAAAGCAATGCCGAAGTCTAAAATTACCAAGAGTTTAAAAATTCACACTCTGATTGCCGAGTTTGGTTCGGATGTATTTTGTACCGATGGGACCGTTTTATTTTGCAATATTTGTTCAGTAAAAGTTAATCACGAAAAAAAATATTATATACAGCAGCATATTAAAAGTGAAAAACATATAAAAGGATTACAAATAAAGAAAAACAAGACCCAAATGATAGCACCATTTGTGGAAAAGAATGTATTTTACGCAGATATTACTAAAATGATGATTGCATGCGGAATTCCACTTTATAAATTGAAGAGTGTGGAATTCAAATCATTCTTTGAAAAATACGTTCAGGAATCCCTTCCCGATGAATCAACTCTTAGAAAAAATTACGTGAAGGATTGTTACGAGTCCGTTTTGCAGAAAATTCGTTTAGAAATAGGAGAAAGCCCCATCTTTGTGTCCATCGATGAAACTACAGATAAGGCAGGCCGCAGTGTAACCAACGTTATTGTTGGACCGTTGCGTGAAAGCGGACGCGGCTATCTCTTGACGGTGGAGGTGTTGGATAAGGTGAACTCATCAACAATCGCAACATTGTTTGACGATTCTATGCACATTTTATGGCCAATAGGATTCCAACGTGAAAAAGTGTTGGTATTTGTGACTGATGCAGCACCCTACATGAAGAAAAGTGCGTCATCATTGAAGCTGCTTTATCCTAATATGATTCATATCACCTGCGTCGCACATGGCGTACACCGGGTCTGCGAATCTCTACGCTCGAAGTACTCAGATGTTGACGTCTTAATTTCAAACTTAAAAAAAGTTTTCTTGAAAAGCCCATTCAGGGTGGCAGTTTTCAAAGAAATGGAACCCAATCTTCCTCTGCCTCCTCAGCCGGTATGTCAAGATAAATTGCTATTGTTGTTAATTTTAATTATAATTGTTTGTAAATTTATACAGGTGATAACTCGATGGGGCACATGGCTAATTGCAGCCGTATATTATGCCGAAAACTATGATTCCATCAAAAGAATAATTGACCAAATAACGGACGATGCAGCATGTGTCAGTTTCTCGAAGCAATTGTTGAGCAAAAAATCGGTTCAGGGGAATTTGATATATATAAAATGCAATTTTGGGTTTCTTTTAGAGGAAAAAGTTTTCGAACGTCTACAGAAAACAGGTTGTGGAAAAACCAAATTCTCAGTAAAAAATTAATAATTCACATACACTCTTTATGTAATTGTAGGAACTCCAGTTGGTGAGGTATTAAATATTTTGGATAACATTGAGAAGCGGCTTATAGAAGCGCAGGGACCTATTGCCAAATTGGTGTTGGAAAAATTCAAAGCCGTTTTCTCAGCTAACTTAGGCTTGGAGACAATAAGGGGTGTGGATAAAATTGTTAAGGGCGAGGCAAACGCCCTTATTCCTGATAATATGAACGTTTCAAACGTTCCATATTTAAATTGGGCGCCACTTGTATCAACTTACGTCGAGCGCACATTTAGTACATTCAAGGCTTTTCTTCGCGAAAATCGAATGAAAATGCTGCCAGAAAACTTCAAAATGCATCTTGTGGTTCAATGTTACTACAGCTATACAGATTAAAGTTGTATGAGTTAAAAACTCGATATGATAAAATAGTCAAAGATTCAAAGTACAAATTTTTCATATAATGAAATTAGTTCATAGTTTTTCTCTTTTTACTTGTAATATAAACATTTCTAAAATAAATGTAATTTTTGATTGTTCTTCGTATTTTCTGTCTTTTTTTAGTGCCTTATTTTGCTTTTTTTGCAATACCTTTTTTTTGCCTTTTCTTGCCTTTTTCGCTATTTTGTTTTGCCTTTTTTTGCCTTTTTTGCACTACCTAGTGCCTTTTCCTGCCTTTTTCGCTATTTTATTTTGCCTTTTCCGTCCTATTTCGTTATTTTATTTTGCCTTTTTTATAGGTTTTTAGGTCCTAAAAATCCGTTCCCTGGTCATTACTAATAAGTTGTTCGCTCTCTTAGTGTTGTTTGCCACCTGAGCTACCTGATTTTGGATTTACGGCAGCCTACCACCGTGTGCCACCTTTGATCCGATTTCTGAAGATTGTGGAGAAATATGTCTCTATATAAGCTTCCAAATGGGGTAAGACACGATCCGCAATCGAGACCAATGCAGCTTCATTTCCGAGATTGGTGCGCGTGACCAGAGACCCAGACTAAATCTTACAGTAGCAATTTCTTGGATGAATCGCTTAGTGGCGACCCTGAAATCTAGCCTGGCTCTTAGTATTGCATCGGCGCATGAATCCATCTATGTAATGCCAACCATTTTAACCAGCGGTTGGGACTGGCTAGCGTCGTGGTTTTGTCCTCATTTACGTTGACCCAATAATATTCAAAACTTTAATCATTTCTACTTGCTCTACTATTTTACTCATACAACCCACTTTCCTTTGCTTCTCCTTGCATTAATTATGCTGTCACTCCTCTTACTGACAGCGCAATCTAAAAACATTTCCTGTTTACAAAAACTTCTTTGACATGATTTTATCGAAGCTCTTTACAGGCTGGGGAAAAATCAGAAAATCAGCAAATGGCAGCATTAGGGCGCAATCTGCACAATTATGTATGTACGTACACATGTGCATGTAAGCATTAAATGTGAGGCGCGTGGCAGCACAATCGAATATTGCAAGCATGGATGCAACAGCAACAAAAGCTTAACTTGTGGCAAGACATTAGAAAAGCGTTTATACGAAAACAAAAATATCACTTCACGTGTGGGTGTTGCCAACAACATTAAGCACTTCCCCCTCTGCAGCAGCTCCTTTTGTGGCAAATGCATCTCTACTTATGCGCCGCTAATAGTTACTCCATGCAAGTTAAGAAAATAAAAGCAAATAAAGTTTCGATTAAAATGAAAATGATCGTGTTAAATATGGCTTAAAGTTGAAGCCGGAGCTACAATCAAGCTGACGAGCGGTATTCGTTTGCGTTTCGCTTTTTACATATGTTTTGTTTGTTTGTTTGTTGAGTTTACGCAGCGTTTGCAGCTGCTGCAACATGAGACCAAACAAACTGCCGCTCCTCCTCAGTGTTTAGCAACAACAATAAGCGACATGGCAATAAATCAGACACCTACACTTTGATTACTTCAGCATTTTGACATTTGCTGGAAAACACTGGCATCATTCGTACATATGTACATATGTATGTACGTGTTTTTGGGGTGTGTGCAGCTGCTGTTGTACCGCTGGCTGCAATGCGCAGAAAAACACAAATGCAGCGGCAATAACAAAATGCTGCGAGTGCTGCAACAATTGTTGCTGCAACAATCATTGACTGTAGTTAAATCGTCAGTTAATGTTGCCGATGTTGGCAGCTGATATTACTGATGCGGACACTGATACTGGCTGTGTGATTATTTTTAATGTAATTGCTGTTGTTGTTGTTGTTGTTTTTGGTCATGCTGTTTGTGAGACATAGACATAGTGCAGCGAATTAAAATACAGCGGCTCCGCTGGCTTGGCCAAGTCGTTCGAATGGACACCGACGCTCCAGCTCTGAAAGTATTCAACTCGGAACCCGCTGGTGGTAGCAGAGGAAGAGGGAGGCCCCCACTGCGATGGAAAGATCAGGTGGAGAAGGACTTGGCTTCACTTGGCGTTTCCAATTGGCGTCAGTTGGCACAGAGGAGAAACGACTGGCGTGCTTTGCTGAACTCGGCCAAAATCGCTTAGGCGGTTACAGCGCCAAAAAAGAAGAAGAAGAAGAAGAAGTTTGTGAGTATATCTGTCTGTCTGTTGTTGAGATTTCTGATGCCATGTCGGCTTTATGTCGGTGTTATTCAGAGACAGCGTGTCAGTCGCTTCAACTCATTAGTTGCATTGCATTGTGCTTGTGTGTTGGTAACCAAGTACCTACCAATTTTAAGATGGCAACATTTCGCAATTTTTTAATGAGCTTGAATAAAATTATGCCATGGTTTTATTATTGAGCTGCTAGTAGGAAGGCAACCCGAAAATTAGAGAATAAGGCAGCAATCAAATCGCTTCAAGGCGGGAACTGGATCCTGCGCAGGCGGAGATGGAAGCCTGGTAAAAAAAAGACAAATTTCCTGGAATGCGTACTTGAAAAACACTTGGTCTTTATTAGAAAAACAGAAGCCAAATCAATAATTTTTAGGATTTTTATCTGGCATCACTCGAAAACTAATACTTGAAATCGAATGCTGTTTTCACCGATGCATTGCTAAAGGTCCAACTTAAAATGCAGGAGGAAAAAATAATTAAACAGTTGCCACCTGTTTGGAAACTGCAGTTTAAGTAAATTGATAAGATAAAGTAAATATTGCAATATGGTTGTCAAGAGAAAGTGGTTTAAAAAGGCTTACAGTCGAAAATATTTTTGTGGAAGGTTGCCATCTGTTTGAAAATTTTAATTTGATTTAATTGGTAAAAGAAATTAAATATTGCAATATAGGTATCAAACTAAAGAGGTTTAGGAAAGTTTACTACCAAAAATAGTTTTGTGTAGGCTTGCCACTTGTTTGAAAAATTATATTCAATTATAAAATTGATCAAATAAATAAAATATTACTAGACGCGTATTAAAGTAAGGATTTTAGGAAAGTTGACTGCCAAAAATATATTTGTAACGGGTTGCCACCTATTTGAAAAATTTTATTTAGTTATAGTGATAAGATTGCCTTATTATGCCCAATTAATACACCTTTGAAGAAAGTTCACGATATGTATAATCGAGTTAGATTTAATTTAAATTTCCAGGATTAAATACCTTAGAAGATTTATTAGCTAACACATTTATTCATAAAAAATAAAATACATACTATGTATGTATGTTTCATAAATCCAAATTTTTTTTGAAAATATCATTTCATAAAGCCATAAGAATTTTGGAGGGGAGTAACAATATTTGATAGTGTTAAATAAAGTGAATAAATAAAAAAGTAAAAAAATAATAATTAAAATTTCTTTTCCTTATTGATATTTTATGACCAAGAGTAGTTAGCTAGAAGCTAGTTGACACCTAATGCACCCTTGACTATTTTGCGGCCACGGCGACACAAATATAGTTAGCTTTCCTCAAAGAAAATATACAGATAATAGTAGCCTTCCTAATCAACTTCAAGTTAACTTATAGTTTGATACATTTCCTGCAGGGCTATTTTAGAATTTTTAAAACCAGCCGTGTCTGTGGAGAGCAACGAAGAATAAGTGCTGTAGAGCGAGTTGTCGCTTTTCAGTTTTCGTTTATAAATCTTATATGTTTATTTAAATAGTTGCCATTCCCATTTCTAGAAGATTCTTCGATTTGAAAAAAATTGCGGAACAAATGTTGTTATTTAAGACATTTTCTGCCGAAATCCACAATAAAATCTGCGTTTGATTAATCTTAGTCCTAAAACTTCCACGCCTATTTTTAGGCGTTTGTCGCTTTAAACAAAAATCTTCCCGAAAGTAGATTTTACTGGATGGATATTCTACTGGAATCCGCAATAAAAAAAAAAAAAAATTGGCCAGCTTTTCGGCACAAATACCAGTCTGTGAGACGTATTGAAGCTTACAATAAAAGTTGTAAATGCACTGCACACCTCCTCAGGGAATTTTTATTCATGATAGGAAGAAAGGGAAAAGAGAAAAAGCTCTCAGGGAGTTTCAGTTCAGATTCGGCCTGAATAATTTTCACATCCGCCGTTTTTAAGCCACTTTAGTCAATTAATTTATTTCTTTTGCAGTAGTTTTCTCTAATTTTCTAGCATCTCATCACTAAAACTATCAGACTTTTAATGTCTACTGCCAATTCTCAAAATACTATTACCGCCACGTCTAGCTATTCACAAGCGAAAATTTTCAAATCCGAAACCAATTCATTTGTCTACACCTAGCCATTATTTGTGGTTAAAAAAGTTGCCATATGTTCGAAATTCAAGTCTAAATATACTTACATATGTACTACTAACGTACATATAGATAGATATACGTACATATGTAGATATTATATGTATAACATATTGACTTTCATGCCCATCAACATTTTCTGGCGTCAGAGCGATTTGCTGATTTTCAGTTCATTTCCATTCAATTTCTGATTTTTACCGACACTGCTGTTGTTGTTGCTTATGTCTGGACAAGCGCT